AAGGCATATCCACAGACTGCTGCGTGGGATCCGGTCATACGCTTTCTCTAGGCCCACAAAACACGTGTACACCGGCTGGGCGTACTCCCACGATTTCTCAACAATCTGGATGCGGGGCAAATATATGGTCAGAGGTACTTCGACCGGGCCGTTTCACCAGAATTAATTTTGATGATTTAGTTAGTGGTGTAGTTTTTAAGCTGTAAAGTGTAATTACTTTTTATCTTACTGAAAATATATTGCTACCATGAAGCAGTAAGTCTGCTTCAAAATGGATGTTTGGTCGCAGTAGTGTGGCTGTGTTTTTGAATCTGTTGATAGGTAAATTTCCATTTGTTTCCAATGCTTGATTTATTTTTTCATGCTGCATATAAGCGGCTAGCTCTTCGGCAGCACTTTATCGACAGTCTTGTCAAGCCCTCCTGAATTTCGAAATTTTTCCTGTCTGTTTTATGTTTTTTGGACACTGAACCCTGAATGCATTGGGTGAAGTCAGGTTCGTCATTCATTATTCTGTAGCGGGAGTATCTTCACAAGTCTCTGTCTAATCGACATCAGCGGAAATGAGCGAAGTTCGCTTGACGTCCATGAGATTTGTTGCGTTTTTTGACAGGAATAGAGGTGATGGAATAAAAGGCCATAACTATGTAAAAGAATAGATTTATGCAATGCAAAAATTTGTGTTGAAGGCTGTTGTTATCCTGAAAATATTAATAACTGCCGAGCTACAGAATTTCAGTCACCAAAATGAGACATTTTCATCCAATAAATTTCAGAGATGGCAAAGGTTGTTTTTTTAGTTCTTTAGCTTTTAGTTCTAAATGAATAACTCAGAATATATATTTTGTAAAGCACCGCAAGAAAGTTATTCTTAAACATTTTCTTGCAAACATACTGGTGCAGTAAATGACGATGCATGTCACTACACCGGGTCAGACGGCCTTGCTGCACTGCCCCCTTTACTTCTAGACGCCAGAAGACCATTTAAGCGAGCCGCGCTCCATAAAATTTGAGCACCAGCGCGATGCAGCGGCACCAGCACCAACATCAGCGTGATGCAAAAGTGCAGCACTAAGTTGGGTATAAGCAAGACATCAGCATGACAACTAAAAGTTGTGGCTAACGCGATACGCGTGCTTTTAACATCACTAATGGTGCTTTTTGACCTCTGCACCGTATTTTTTTTTAACATTTTGGTGTACACTCGTGCTCTCGTAGTGAATGGCGATGCACGTGGTAAGATTGTACCAGTAAATTGCGGGGGAAGACTTAAACAACGCAGATCGGCTTGTCAGCAACGCGCTACGCTACTCTGTCGGCCTTTCGAATTTGCGCTGAAAATGATGGCAGTTAATATATTTAGAAATAGTTCAGCATTTACTTAGAAATGTAATGATGAGACTGACATGTCTTGATTCTATATCTCGTTTGTGATATTCTTCTGACAGCAAGACATAGCTTAATATAAATAGTGAAACAGTAACGGCTGCATTCACACAAATTAATCCTCTTTTATTATCTCGCACAGTGGAACCATGAATTCAGGATGTTAATCCTGGAAATTCAGATGCTTGATTAGCTGTGCTCACAAAGAGCTCTCCATTTATATGCGATACGAGAGAGTAAATCAAAAACGGCTGTACATCTGCGAATTATGCCAGTTTAGTTTTGCAACCGCGGAACTGCTCCTAACTTTCCGCCCCAAACAGCTCCGCGAAATACTCAGAATAGCTTTTCTTGTTTATTAATATGCTTGAAAGAGTGATTTGTTGGCATTAACTGAATGATGGACAAGGGAAAGGAAAATTGTTCCGGCACAAGACGAACCCTGTTTGAAAAGTTTTATCCCTGGAAGGAGATGCTTACTTCATTGTAGCACTTCTGTTAGTGATCCTAAATATTTAACACTTACGAGTAGAGAAATGCCTATGCCTACTTAACTGCGGTCACGGTGTCGATAATTCATTAATTGTTCGCATTTTTGGACAAAATACGTTTCGACAGCTGCGAAGCAATAACATTTTTTACTGTTTTGATACTTAAATAGTTGTGTAGACGTCTGCTCTGCCAATTTTACTTATAATTTTTAAGGCTTTTGTAGTCTGCGTGACGTTTCGCCATTGTGATTTGATTTTTTTATCGCTTTTGTCGTTAATGTTCTTGCAAAATTATGTGAAAGTTTGACATTCTTCATGTTCGAAGTTTCAAAGTTATAAGCTGACTTGAATTTAATGCTTTTATTTTCAGAATTTTCCGTTATCAAATATGCTTCAAAGGTGGTTGCCGTATCTTGTCTTTCTCTTGCATAGCAGCTTCGTACGCTTTATTTTTCTTACATTATGTGACTTTGTAGTTTCTGTTGTAGAGGACCAAATTCAGCCATCCTTCATTACGGTCATGCTGGAAGACCCAATGACCGAAAAATTCAGGATGGCGACATGTGCATTTCAGACATGGGAGGCGAATATAGATGCTATGCGTCAGATATAACTGTATCGTTTCCGGCAAACGGCAAATTCACTGAAAAGCAGAAGATCATTTATAGTGCAGTTCTCGATGCAAATAGAACTGTTCAGAGAACCATGAAACCTGGTAAGAGATTTTACCAAAATGATAGAAGTAGAATACAAATATAATGGTTTCGGAATTTGAAATGTTGTAGAAATATACGAAGATTCCTATTTCTAAGAGTTTCAGTCATGGTCTAATTTTACATACTCTAAAGCTTTTCGATGAAAATGCATGAAGCAGTCGGGTTTTCATTTATCATGGTAAAGACTCGTCGTAAAAGAGCAAGGAAGGTTGAATCAGCATGTATCACGATCCACCTGAAATTTGAACATTGACAAATAATGCATAAAGGGGGAGGGGTTCAGGAAAGACTTCAGTCAGCTGTCAACGTTGTTACCTTATGCTTTTCCTCAACCTTGCCCGTTTTAGCGAACGAATCAAATTTTCTTCATGAGGAAAAAGATATATTGTGCATAATACACGACATGTAATGGAAGAACGATTCGATCATAGCAGCCACAGGAATTTAATCATGATCTTCGTGAGCCTTTTTCAGACTGTTGTTGGATAAAGACTTCAAGGATTTTTGCAACAAAAGATTCTTTTACAAAATTATTCACTCTGTTCTAATGGTTTTCCGAGTTCATCGTGTCACTGATCTGAAAGTCTTTAAACGGATCATTTGTAGTCGCTTTGAACTAAGTCTAATTTCTATTTCGCCTAGCGACGATGTGTAATGGCGCAATATACTCAACCCATTGCCATTTCAACTTTTTTTGTCATTGTAATGACATCTCAGACCTCAGTGTGTGACCTTATCCATTTTCTAGTCGTCTTATTTTTTCATTTTTTTCGCAAAGCAATCTTTCCCGTCGTCATTGCGTAGTTTATTGCTTTTGAACAGTTTCAATCGTATTTTTTCAGTACTGAAAGCCTGCAGTGATTATGACCTCTGTTTCTAACACGGACGGTTTTCTGGATAGAAACATCTTCAGTCTCCCATAATTGTTCCTTGCCGATTTTAGTTTTTTGTACATTACGAACATTTGGCTCTTTGCTGCAGCGATCGGTTGTTGCATGTAGTTTTGCATCAGCTCAAGCGCAAGACAATTCACCTCAGCAGTTTTTGGCGTTAGTTGTTTGTTTTGCATAGCTGGGGTCTTCTTATATTCATTTTCAGCTCCCTCATTACGCTGGCGTCTTTTCAGCTATTAGATTCTACTCCAGTTATTCTGCGAAGGTATCGCAAGAATATGGATATATGGATCTTCTTTTTCCTAGCATGTTCCCTTTAAGAGGTGTCTGCTAATCGAGTCAGTCACATTTTTTTATCTTTGGTTAAATCTTCATTGATTCCTCGCAATTACATATCGTTATTGATGACATCTCAAACTTTTCTATACTTTTCTCCTTCTTTTCTTCCCTGGCAGCATCACTGCTTAGGTCACATTTCCAGCATACTCGATGGGGCATTCAGCTGTTAATCGTGTCTCTTCAGGGTAACTAAAAATTTCGCTCCATGCAGAATTGTCGGTTTTGCTAAGGCTCTGTACACTTCGTCAGTTTAATGGGCATCTTGTCGCACAGTATTCCGCTCATTTCTCTCCATTTGAGTCGAGCTTTTTTCGACCGATTTTTTATTTCGCTATCGATTTCCGCATTATCTGGCAGTGTGGAACCAAGGCAGTTGAATTCTTGGGTTTGAGGCAGCAAACTTCCCTATACTTACACTGATTTAACGGATTTCAATCTGTTTACCCCGCTGAAATAGCCCGCCATATATATTCACTTGCCTTTGCTGAGTCAAAGTCCGTTATTCTCAAGGGTTCTTCTACAGGCCTCGGTTTTTGATTCTACAGCTTTTCTGCTTTCGCTACATAGCACAACGTCATCTGCAGAGAGCATGCTGTATTGGGCTGCTTCGTGCAGATCCTCAGTAATCGCATCTGTCGCCATCGAGAGAAATGGACTCAGTGCAGATCCTTGATGGACTCTTACCCGCACACAGAACTCTTCTGTTTCGCCGCCGATTGTATTTTGAACTATCGTTGTCATGTTGTCGTACATGTTTTTGGTGTGCCTGACATATTTTTCTATTACCAGCTTCTTTCTCATGTTTCACCAGATTCCTTGTCTCAGGATTCGGTCAAAAGCTTTCTCCAGGTCTAGGAACATTATGTTAATGTCTTGTTTTCTCTGTATGTTTCCAGGGCTGATCTTATAGAATAGATGGCACCCATGGTTGACCGGCCTGCCACAAAACCAAATTGGTTCGCTTTAATGTCGACCTCCTTCCTCAGTTTTTTTGTCCAGCACCTTCTCATATGAATTCAAGGCGCTACTAATCAGTTTAATTCTCCGGTTCTTTTCACATGCAAGCATGCTCCTTTCATTTTGAACATTGGCATTATTATACTCTGCTTCTATTTTTACGGCTTTTTCGCGCATTCCACAATTTAGTTGCATAGCACGCAGAGTCATATCACCCCTTCTTGCCCCTGTACTTTCCATGCTTCTATGAGAACTCCGTCCTGGCCAAAGGTCTTTTATTTTTCATACAGCTCAAGGCTTGTTCCACTTCACCAGGTGAGATCTTTTCGACTAGAGCCTGGTTTCGTTGGATCTCTTCCGCAGCCTCTCCGGAATATTTTGCGTTTAGTGATGTTTTGAAGTGTTTTCGCCATCGGTTGCGACTACTTTTCTCGTCGTTCAGCAAAATTCCATTTTCATCTTTTACACACTTTAGTTGACCGACGTCCTTTATTCTTTATTCTCTCTTTTTTGCTGTGCGATAGATGTCCTTCTTTCATTGACAGTTTTTCGTTTATGCTATTACACGCTAAAGACTGCATTGGTGACAGCTTTCTTCACCTCCCTCTCCGATAAGGCTTATTTTACTGTCTTTTGCGCTGTTTGATAGCTGTCATTTCTTAAGCAGCTCTTTCTTCGGTCATTTGATACCCTGCACATTCGCCTTCCACCACCACGTTTCTTTCTGAATATATGATATGCCTTTTATTTCTCTGACTAGACTTCTTCCATTCTCTGCGGTTATGCCTCCGCTCCCATGCTTTGTTCATTTTTCTGTTCCAGTCTTCCTTCATTTTTCTCGTAACTTCCAACGCTTCTTTCAGCTTCCTTCCGATTTTCCACCGTTGTATCTTCGGGGCTGTCGCCGCGCCCACCACCTGAATGGGCTTGTTCACAGAGAGTGATCTAGGACCAGCAGCTGCTGCTGGCTTGTGACAGATTCAATAACCTTGGAATCTCTTGCGTTCTTAAGTTTCTTTCTTCGGAGCAGGAAGTAGTCGATCTGACTTTTCTTCTGCTCGCTTTTGTAAGTTAGCAAGTGATTTTATCTTTTCTGGAAGAACGTGTTTATCAGGGCCAGATCATATGCAACTGCCATCTGCAAGATGTTCTCTCCTTTATTTAGCATGCGATGTCTATTACCGTCATGGATCTTGTCGTAACCCCTTCGATGTTTCCCGACGTGCCCATTAATGTCACCCCCGATTATCACTCTTTCGTTTCGCGGTATGTTTTGCAGTGCAATTCTAGGCTCTTCCTGAATGTCAACTTTTCGATTTCATTCTGATCAGTCTGACGGGCATACGCACTTATATTTAAATACCATTTTCCAAAGTCAGCTTAATGGCCATGATTCTATCATTAATTCGGCTGACTGTGAATACCCTGTCTGGTCGTTTCATTCAGTACCACCCAAACTCGATTTCTTTTGTTTATTTTCCACAGTAAATGAATTTATAACCTAGCCCGATCTTTTTCGGCTTTCCATTCTGTCTCTCGAATACACGCGATCTGAACGTTTTTTCTAGTGGCTGTTCGCATTTTCTCGCATCGTTTTCGGCATATGAACCTCTCTCTTTGTGACTCCTTTGACGCACGAACTCTTTCTCTTGTTCATTTCGCACAGCCTCCGGGATTTGCTGCTTCATGCCACCTGTAAGGAATGTCCTTGGATTGTTTTTTAGAAATAAGTTGACTAACCATATTTGACTTTGGCATTAGTTTTTACGGTCGACTGCCTGCCTGACGCCAATCCGTTTTTCTATGCCGAGATTGAAACCAAGTACTGCTCGTTGGGCTTGGCAGCATGCTTATTTAATGTTGTCATGTACTCGCTATGTCACTGCGCTGTCTTCAGGCCTGGCGGGATTTTCTAGATCCAGAAGTTGGTTCGCCGCACCTTCGTAGCACTGTCGTTACGTTGTCCGCGACTGCTTATTCGTCATGTTCTCCGCTTGTTTCGCAGCTACCCGTCATGTCTGACGGTTGTTCCACTCTCCACAACCTGTGGGCGCAATATCATGCCGTTTCGTCTCAAGATTTGTCCTGATCAAAATAAGTGAAGTTGA